GCTTTGTTACTTCGGATGTTATTCATCACCCGCACTAGCTGATGATTGGTGGAATGCCCCTTGCGGAACCCGAACTGTTCCGGAAGAAGAATGTCATGTTCCTCCACAAACTTGTTTAGTCGGCTGAGGATCAATTTTTCGAACAGCTTGCTCAGCGCTGAGAGCAGGCTAATCGGTCTGTAGCTTGACGGTAGTGAAGGGTCTTTCCCAGGTTTGCGGATCGGGATGATTTTTGCCACCTTCCAGATGCTTGGAAAGTAGTGCAGCTCCAAGCATCTGTTGAGGATGGCAGCCAGCAGCGAGTGCACCCTCGCGCTGAGATTTTTCAACTCTAGGTTGAATAATCCGTCAAACCCGGGAGCCTTCATGTTCGTACTGTGTTTCAGCGCTGAGCAAATTTGTTCCTCTGTAATCCGTTCTTCTGGAGGGACGGCACAAGGGGAGGCATCTAACGTCTGGACGCACTGCACAACCTGGTTCTCGAGTGGACTTGGGATTGTAGAGCCAAGCAAATGCGACTGGGCAATGTGCTCCCCAATTGCATTGGCCTTCTCTTCGTTGGTGATAAGCCGTTCGTCATTGACTCTAAGTGGTGGAATGGGCTTGGGGTGAGACTTCAGCACCTTGGCAACCTTCCAGAATGGTCTGGAACGGTCGTCCAGGTTCTGAACGAGCCGCCCAAAACTCTCGTTCCGGATTGAGACCATTCTGGAAGCGATCTGCCGATTCAGATCGACCATTTCGTATTTACGCTGCAGATCCCCAGTCCGCTGAAACTGGCGTCTACGAACATTTCTGAGCCGAATCAAGAGTTTGGTGTGGGAATCAATTGCTTGAAACTTACCCCTCACAGGAACTCGTCGAACGCACTCTTCGTCAGCCACGGATATGGCTTGATGGAGACCCTCCAGGGCCCGGTCGATGTCCTCCACTGTGTCGAGCGGTGGGTTGTCGTCGATGTGGCGGTCGACCACGCGTCGAAACTGGACCCAGTTGACTCGATGGTAGTCCTTCCGCTGGCACGGTGCAGGGGCCACGATGTAGCCCAGCTCGGTCAGCACCGGTTGGTGGTCCGAACTCAGGTCGTTGACGGCAACCGGCTTGGCTAATCTGGTGTTTGCCAAGAACAGGTCCAGCGTCGATGGGTTGCCCGTCGGTGATGTGAAGGTTGGTTCGTCCGGAAACCAGACGGAATAGAGACCATGCTGGGAATGGTTGAATAGCAGGCGGCCGTTCTGGTTCTGCTGGTAGTTCCGCCAGGCCTCGTGCCGGGCGTTCAGGTCCCCTCCGATTACAAAGCGGGCATTGGTGTGGGTTATGATGGCAAGGTCGTTCTTGAACTGCTGTGCTGTACCATTGCTAACGGTACATTGCCGGGGGCAGTAGACAACGATGAACCGGACGTTTCCGGTCGATGTTTCCACCTCAACGCCGACGGCCTCGATGATGGAAGTGCGGTAGTGGGGTAGGGTGCAGTACTTGATGCCTTTCTTGATGATGACCGTGACACCGCCCCCCCTGGAGCTGGTGCGATCAAGCCGGACAATGCTGTGGTCGGGCAGCCAGAAGCTGTCACCGGTCTTGAGGTGGGTCTCGGTGAGAAGGCCCACGTCGATGTCGTGCTTGCGGAGGAAGTCTGCAAGCTCAATGTTTTTTGCCCCTACGGAGCGAGCGTTCCAGTTGGCGATCTTTATGGGTTCACGGTCCATAATTAGCGACGAAGGAGATGATAGCTTGGAGCTGTTGTGTTCTTGTTGCGCAGGTGCGCTTGATGATGATGGCCTGGGCCAACAGTGTGACGATCTCATCCGTTGACAGCGGAGAATCGTCTGTAGCTTCACCGGTTGTACCGGACAATCCCGGAGCAGGGGGATCCGTCGATGGCCCGGAGGCTTGACCGGGTACTGCAGCGGCAGCCAACTGGGCAGCAGCCAACTGTTGGTTGAGCGGGAGCGGCGGCAACACTGGAATTGGCCGTGATTGGACCGGTGATAACGGAGGAAAGTTCTGCGCGTTGTTTTCTGGAATCTTCTTGCGACCGGGCTGGCTGTTGGACGAGGCCTTCTTCCGGATCTCGGCGTATTCGGCCCGCTTCGGACAGGCCTTACTCGTGGCCTTGTGGGCGGCACCGCAGTTGGCGCATGTGGGAGTGGCTTCCTCGATGCTGTCGCAGTTGTCGATCTTGTGGTTTTTGCCGCATTTGATGCAGCGGCTGGCCATGCGGCAATTCCTGGTGCCGTGCCCGAACAATAGGCAGTTCGAGCACTGAGTGACGCCACGGTGGGTGGGTTTATACCGCTCCCACTTCACTACGATGTGGAACAGTGTGCGTGTCGTCTGGAGATCCTTCACGGTTGTGGAGTTCTTCTCCAGATGGACCAGGTAGAGCTGGTCACGATACTTGATGGCCTTGCTGCGGGTCATCTTGTGGACTTCGACCGGCTTGAGGCCGTTCGCCTTAATCTCGTCCATTAAGGTGGTGGTGTCCATGTCGTGGAGCCCGCGCAGCACCACTTTCAGCGGCTTGGTGGCCTCGATGTCGTGGGAGAAGTACTCCAGCTTCATTCTGTCCAAGAGGGCCTGAACTGCGTTGAAGTGTTTTTCGGCCGGGACCATCAGTTTGTAGCCTTCCGTGCACCGTTGAATGGTGCAGCGAAGGCCCTGCTTAATGTAGAAATCCAGCTGCTCCCATAGCCCGGGAGGGAAGCCCTTCACATAGAAGGGTGGCAACTTAACTTTTTTCGGCACCGTCTCAGGGTCCGACTGCGGCTGGGCTCCGTTCTGCAGGGCGGAGAACGGATTGTTGTTCAGCAGCTTTTTTGCTGCTGATACGGTGGCGCTGCTGTCTTCAGGTCTGGGTCGTTTAGTTCCGGGAGGCCCCGGCTGCGGGTCCGCAACGCCTGTCGGGATGGGCAATGGGATTTTCTTCTGCTTCTTCTGGGCTGGCTCGGTGGTCGCGCCGTCTCCTGGGAGAGTTTGTTTTCCCGGTAAACCGGCACTCGCGTTACCGCGCGATTTCTTACCCATGGCTGGGTCAGCGAGAGCGTCACTACACAACGCGGAGCTAATTCGACTTGCGAACGAACGAACGAAACTAGAGAGAATTCAAATCGACTGAACTGCTCAACAGTCTGGCAGCGAATGAGCTGATGAACGATGACTTCAACGAGCTTAGGTGCTTCATATTTATACCTGCTAACCTATCAAAATTCTCTAACCAATGAGATTCTGTTTACATACGAACTATCACGCTTCACGCTCACTTGATTCTACTCATTATTTATTCAACACTAACTCTATCTTCTACAACACCATCTGCTCATTTATAAATAACTTTTCACTCAGTTGTAGAAATTTAGTTTTCTTTAAAGTAACTGATAGATTAGGCTTATAGTTTACTGTAGACATGCAAAGAGTAGGTAAATCTTTTCATTTGAATTATTTACATTTACACTTAAAGTCCAAAATGTGCAGCGAGCATTTCTCACTTAATTTTTGCAACGCAAAATCAAATACAGATTATTACTAGAATTAAAATCTCCTTTTTAAAGCGTATTTATAAGAAGCTTAAATTGAGGGTTTGCGGAACGTCCACTCGTTCATTTTGACCTGGACCGTAGAAGAGGCGTGAGAAGTCTTGTGATCGAATTTAATGTTCTTTTCGTTTACTTCGTCTTCACCTTAAAGTTCAGAAGTTAGTAAGAGAAAAGGTAATGTGGAGATTTTTTGTTTTTGTTTACGAGTCGAGCAGCCGTTCGACGGCTTTTCTTTAGGATTTGCTTGAACGCAGAAAAAATTCTGAATTTTAACTATCGCGTAAGATCTCCTTTTGTTTAATGTTGAGCTATACTTTGCATAAAAAGCGAAATCGTCTACAAACTTGCATACAATATTACTAAATTATGCAATATTTCTCTTAAATTTATGCCAAATCTAGCATTAATTTTATTTGCTATATATCTTGCAGAAATTTACATGAATTTTTCGAACGGTGTAGTGATATACGGCCGAAGCTCGGCACACCGCATCTCTAGTTCGAACGCTACTATCGACCCCACGCTTCGCGGGAAAAATCGGAAAGGAACAAACCGTTCCAACAGAGTGACCATTTCTCCATATTCGCCACACGCGGTAAAACTACTGACGTACAAGCTTCGAGACTATCCATCGACGCAGCATCATCGCCGATCGCAGCATTTCGGGTGATAGCCACAATACCGGTATCGGCTTTGCCGACCAATTCATCGGGCAGCTATTGCGGTACCGTGTGTAGACCAAATAATAAATCTAACCATACGCATGCATGCACACCACACACACTCCACGAAGAAAAGCTCAATGAGCAAAAATAACTAGCGATCACTAGAACAAAACCGCACACATTAGGGGAAACTAGAGAAGAAGAGACACGGATATGAAAACTTAGGTTATAAAATTGAATAAACTTTCTTAAATAATGTTTAGTAGTTTACCCTAATAAATGTTTATCCGATAAATGTCAAAGTTTATCGTGTAACTTATTTTTGGTTTTGAGAGTTTTCACATTTCGCGTCGTTCTACATTTTTGTTGTTTATGTTCATGTACGCCAGGTTAGACTGGCGATCGGCGAGGATTTTTGAATAAGGAAGTTCCTCCAGGGATGATACTGGTGAGTGGTGTTTTTCGTGAGTACACGCTAGTTCAAAACTCTAGTTCACAAAACACTCTTTTTGAAGTTCTCATATTCACCACCAGAGGTTAAATCGATCGATTAGTTTCTATTAAAAAGGCGTATTAATTTAACCACCGGTTTCTCGCAAATAAATACTCATTCCTGTAAATAACCGGTACCAGCTGGTATAGAAAACATTCCTCTATATGATGATGTCATTATTTTGCATGTGTGAGCTTTTATTCGCGAAAAATCTGTGGCTAAAGGCACTTTTTACAAAAACAGTTTCGCCCTTTTGAAATGTTGATGAAAAATTGTCTGGTATTCAAACCATAACCATAAATCTACCTTCCCATGACTCCTCATCCGTCTCCTCACTGAATCGGGAAATGTTCGAAAAAAGCCTCTGCAATGGATTTTGCTTCATGGTCCCCTTGCGAACCGGTCTGTGCTCTGATGAACACCTTTGAAGGGCGTCGCCTTCCTTCGTTAGATTTCTGCAAGAAATTGAATCCAATTAGGCTTTGGCATTGTTCGACCCTGCCGATCCATACAAACACCCACTCACACACACACACATACACACACCGGCAGGATCGAACGATTAATCCTCCAAAGCGTTGAGGAAAACCAATACAAACTTCACGGAACTGGCCTTACTGATGATGGTGGAAAGTGTTCGACGATGGACGAACCCTTGCCGTGATGGCGAATTCGAATGGCGACGGTCTCGACGCCCACCATTGCTACGTCCTCTGGTGCTCATTCTTCGGAGAAACTGGCGAAACCCGATTTTGTGCAAATCTCTACAAGTGTCAGAGAATCGGAACCTGAAAACAATAACACAAACATGGAATTGTGACACAGGCACGTGGAATTCATTGCACGGAGGGATGCGATGATGAGGTGAATGGAGGAAAGGAAGGTGGATTAACTTCTGGTACAAATTGGTCATAAAAAATAATCCTCTTCAACCTTTCGAAGTCCGTTGGTCGGTCGTGTGCAACTGCCGTGGCTGGATCCGATGGGCTGGCATGGTCGATCTCGGTGGGCGACGATGAGGGGTGGGCGCTGCCTGTTGGTAGCAATCGTCCATCGATATGGCTGGGACTGCTGATGTCACGTTTCGTTTGGAGGGATCGAGAGCGAACGACACTGTTGCTGTAAGTAATAGAGGAGGAAAATAGTTGAAAAATTTGTATCCGTAATTTAATTTTTGTAAGAAGATGTCAAAGAATCGATAATTTACGATTATTTAAAGGATAATGACTGGACGTTCAATTGATTGTAATAAATAAACTGCGTGATAAACTACCAAATTAACCACGTGTTTTGAAAATAGCACGTTATTTTACTTTCTTATCCAGCGCTAGCGTTCCAAATGATTTGAATCATCCCTATATGACGTCTAATTTGAACGATTATCATTATAGCAGCATCATAGTAATCGGGGACTTGGAAAATGTTCTACTGTAAAGACAGATGATAAAATGAGGAAAAGTCTCTTTTTTGCATTTATCCGAAGACAACATATCAAGAAGACTGGCAATTCTTTTAAGTTCTCATACGTCTGCTATGAGACAGATACAATCGCGTCATCTGCCGCTCAAAGGTAAATGTTCCGATCGAATGTTATAGCTATGATTCCAACCACAGAAGAAATGTGTGTGTATTAGCTTATTCTTCTATACATTGCTTCCACCTTCACTCAAGCGGAACGCTACTGTATCTGTCGCTTGGATTCTGGCAAAGTTACCAGTCTTCTTGATATGGTAACATATGTTTTTGATAAAAGTGCTAGAACAGAAGATGTTCCAAATAGTCTAAAATCATCTCATCAATGAGGAAAGCTTTTATTTAATTTTAATACTATTTAGGGGAAATGGATGTAATGTCGGCATAAATACCCCTAATTTAAGCCCATACTTAAATTCAGCAATCGACTAAATTTTCAATAGTGACCAAAAATATTCGTTAGTACCGTCCCAATGACGTGTTCATCTAGATAAAATGTATAGATAGCAAATTTTAAGCGATGGGCCCAATCTTAGACCCAAAGGCCAACATTAGAGCCATTTTCCCTATTTGTTTTTTTTAGGGATTTTATTTAGCTTTACGGGGAAAATACAAGAAAAATATTCGACAGCTTTTCGGATGAATTTTTGAACTTTTTGCTGAATACGTCCCATCATGTCTTTTGTCAACCTTATCTGCCATCTTTTCCAACCACTTCTCCAAATTAGATAGTGTCCTGTAAGATCAACAGGACATTGCTACATTTCTTCAATTTACGCTTGATAACTACCCACAGTTCCGATGGAACGAAAATATAGACAATTTGGTGGATTGATAAATAATCAGTAGAATGAAGGTATCATTATCATTTTCTCGGCACAAGTAATTTTAATAGCAATAAATGAGCTAGATATTACGATGATCACAACACTATCACGCTCTGTCATGACAAAAAATTCGATGAGATTTTGAAAAAAAATCTCTGTCATCGTTTTCTCATCTGATGATAGTGACAGAAGTATATCTGTAAATATCACTCGAGATTATATGAACCTTATATTGTAAAAAGAGTTCTTATCGGGCTATTAGCGGCCTTCATGGTTACTTGAGTATAACGGGGAGTCCAACCGATTTGGATCTATTGGATCATAAACTGAATAAACATGGTAAATATTCCCAAACTACCCGCAAACATATCAATACTAAAATCTTCATTGAACTACATTTTTTAGTTTTGTTAGAGACAAACAGAAGTCAAATAATTATCCTTCAAAAATTTACCTTGACAACAAAACAGGAAAAACCACTAGCGAGATCAGTAACTTATTTTCTGAGTTTTTTTTTATGCATATTCACACAAGTCATGATGACCAAGACCGGGATTACCAGTATTTCTCATGCGTTCCGGAGCCAATAAGAGATATTGTGGTTAATAATGTTACCCTCAACGAAATCTTACATTCTTTAAATACATAAGATGCATCAAAGGATGCAGGACCAGATGAATTGGCACCAGTATTCTTGAAATAAGTATCGCAGGAGATAGTAAAGCCATTGCTTTGGCTGTTCAACTCTTCGCTCGAATCTTATTTTCTACCGTCAATTTGGAAGGAATCGTTTTTGATTCCAATTTTCAAAAGTGGATAAAAATCAGACCCAAAAAATATCGTGGAGTTTCTTTATTGTCCTGTAATCCTAAACTCTTTGAATCTATAATAAATAAAAATGTTTTTACACAAGTTATGTAAAAGGACGTTCAACGACTACTATTCTGTTGAATTTTGTAATATTTTCTATTAACGCCATGGATAATGGACATTATGTTGAGGCACTATATACTGACTTCAGTAAAGCGTTTGATAGAGTTGATATCCCTCTTTTGCTATTCAAATTATCTATGTTAGGTTTTAGTCAACAGCTATTAAAGTGGATTCAGTCATACTTGACCGGTAGGTCACAAAGAGTTAGATTTGAAGGAGATTTGTCGTCAGTAGTCAATGTAACATCTGGTGTGCCACAAGGTTCCCATCTTGGACCATTACTGTTTATTCTATTTGTTAATGATGTAGAGCACATATTGAATATTCTGAATATCTCAATATATGCACACGGCATGAAACTTTTCCTGGAAATTCGTGAAGCGTCTGATCTTGTAGTATTTCAACAAGAAATTGATAACTTTTATACTTGGTGCACAAAATGTTTATTAAAGCTTAATGTGAAGGAATGTTATTCCATTTCATTTACAAGAAGGTAAATTATTAGGCAAGAACATGTAACAATAGGACAAAACAGAGTTGAAAGGTGCAATCAAGTTAGAGATTTATGTGTTACACTACACACTTAGAAATAACTACTTTTACACGAGACGTAATCCGTATTGGACGTAAGTCATAGAAAATCATGTCATGTCAAAAGGCCCGCTTACATGTGTCGGTCTCAGGGAACCGAAATTTACATAACTTTTTAGTAGTGTGTAGATTCAAAATTAAGCTTTGTTGGACATTATATTAACTTCATCTACAAGGCAAGAAACATTCTAGGGTTTATTAAAAGGTTTAGCTTTCATTTCAATGATCCATACACAATCAAAACATTATACGTTGCATATTAGACTGGCCCACAAAAATAAAAGTTCTAATTTTCCGCGGGCCAACCGCTAGATTTGTGCCATCAGGTGCGAAAACCATTCTCTGAAAGTTTCAGCTCATTTGGTTCTAAGATGATCTGACGCTTTTAGTTTGAATTTTGCATGGGGAATTTGGATCAAATACATGACAAATTGACACTCCTACACTCTATCGATAATAGCAAAGTTTTCTTATTCTCGATTTGATTCACATTTTCAAAACTTGTAATTCAATTAATAAGTAACAACTTTGCTGAAGATTGCATCATGAATCCAGTTAGTTTTATTGAGATACTCGCGTTTGAATGTATATGAGCAGTTTGTATATGAAAATTTTAATCAAATCTCCTATAAGAACATGATACCACAAGCGCAAGTCCGTGTTACGTCAAAAACAGCTGAAATATTCAGATAGTGGTTATCTCACCTACTGACACGAGTCTGGTTGTTGACCTGTAGAAAATATGAACTTTTATTTTTAGTGGTAATCTAGTTGGTACGTTGCATAAGCTGCCTGTGTTTTGTATTAATATACTTAAATAATTAATATCTCCATAATACTAACATGAATCGTGATGCTGTCTGCAGCAAATTTGTTCCTTATAGTTTAAGCTACGTGTGCTCAGGTGAATCGAGTTTGCTGAACCAGTTCTATGCACAAAAGTGTGAAGGAATGTTATTTCTCCATACATTTCAATCAATATTCCCATGTAAATTTTAAATCAAAAGCGCCAGCTCGTGTTACATTCGCATGAGCTGAAATTTTCAGAGAATGGTTTCCTAACCAAATGGCACAAATCTAGGGGTTGGCCCGTTGAAAAAAATGATAAAGAATTTCCCCCATATAAATGTGGGCCAGTCTATTGCATATGTTAGGCCCCTCCTTGAGTACTGTAGTATAGTCTGGGCTCCATATCAAGACACTTATAAAAACCACATTGAATCAGTTCAAAAACAGTTTATATAATTTGCTCTAAGAAAGTTAGGCTGGACGAGTTTGCCCTTACCATCTTATGAGTCTCGATGCATGTTGATCAATTTGGATGCACTTGAAAAGCGAAGGCAGTTTGCAATTATAGCTTTTATAAACGATGTTGTAACACAAAAAGTGAATGTCACAGAGATTTTAGAAAATCTAAATTTGTATGCTCCCACTCGTTCCTTAAGAAACAGAAATATGTTTTACACTAACAACCAAAGAACAAACTATGCCAGGAACGCGCCTTTAAATAGAATGATGTCTTGTTATAATAAACATTATGAAACAATTGATTTGACAATGAAAGGAAATGCTCTTGAAAAACGTTTCTTTTCGAGATTAGTCAGAGATTAAAAATTAAAATATATGTTAAGTGTTTTTTTGTAACTAAAACTGGTCTGCATTTAATTGACGACGAATAAATAAATAAATAAACAATCAACTAATTTCGATCAAATGGATCAAGCCCCTGCAATAACTCAAATTTTTATTCTTCTTCTGCGCTGCGTCTCGTTTCCCTGTAGACCTTCTAATCACCAAACACTTAGGAATTATCAAGAGGTTGACCAACCACGCACGCCTAATTACAAATGATCGTTAGCTACCTGAAAAAACAATCAATATTACCCACACACTTACAAGCAATAAAAAAAGCCTTCTCACAAACATCTGAACACCAAGAAAACTCTCAAGAGCGCTCCAGTAACCTGCGAAGTGAATGAAAACCTCATCGCTACCACCCAAGTAACATTGCATGTTTTATCGAGGTTTTAATGCATGCCACAAGTCTAAATCATGATCTACAGAACCCTCATAAACAAAAATTGTTACTTGGGCAGCCAGGAACCGTCGCTCTACGTGGTAAATAAAAAATCGACTGGACTGCTATCCGCATTCGACGGGTTATTTAAATGTCCGTATATTGGGATGATGTTCCGGATGTTTTGAACTCAAATTGGCTATTTTTCTGTTGCTGATAATTTTGGGATGGTGGTTAAAACTGCGAAATATTTTTTTTTTTTTCTAAATAAAGCCGGATCAAATCTCAAGCTTTTATTTTGTCGAACAAGATCGACGGAAAACAAATCAAGGAAAAAAACTGAGATACGGCCACTTTCCAGGAATTTGTTCTGGAAAAGTGGTCAATATCGGTGTTTTCTAAAACCTTTAAATTTGGGTTTCAAACTTGAATATGCAAGGGGGTGTTAATTTAAACCTAGATTGTCTAGTTCTGTATTTTTTTTTCGAAAAGGTTCCAATCAAAAGAATGAAAAACTGATTTCACAGGAAAGTATTAAAATTGTAATCACATAAGCACTTCATCCTAATGAATTTATCCTGCGTAATGCGAAGACGAACCCCGAAATCAAACTAATTTAGAACTGTCAAAACGAACATATTTTTTACTTTCTCGGTTTGAAGAAGCGAGTACAAGTATTGTAGTCAACCAATATTAATAATTTAACAGCACCCCTCAAATCATTCTACTTACGAAGGGATGTTGTGGAAATGATAATGTTTTTTTTTTTCAAAATCATCACAATTATTTTTATTAATTTTTGCATCAGAAATTGTTTTGTTTATGCCCCCCTCTTTTCATACATGTTTTTTTTTATCTTTTCATTTATGAATCTACGAACGTAAACGAACAATGGAAACCGCAAAATACGCAAAAATCACCACAAAGGACTCAATTTAGACTATAACGTATGCTTATTCGAGGGAAAACGGGACCACCCCTAAAATAATTTCCAATGCTTTGCACCTAGAAAATTCATAATGGCCACACCAATATCACTAATTTATTTGAACACTGTCGTAATATCCTCCGAATTCTTCTAAAAAAAAACCTATGAAAACGCTAAACAGCGACGTGTCGTACAAAATTTGCTTACCCTACACCGCCACGGTCCGGCGATTGGGAGTCTGCCTTCACCGCTGCTGCTGCTGATGCTGCTGCCGCTGCAACTCCATCGCTGAACCCCCGCACCACTCGATTGCTTTCAGCACCAGAACGGTACCTTTTCGAGTAGTGACGTCGCAGTTGGACGTTCTCGCCGTGGCAGCACTCATCGATTGGAAGTGGTAAATCGTGTGTGTGGAAACGTGATCCAAATAAGCTGCTGGAACTGTGCCGCTGCAGTGACAGTGGTCTGTAGAGCAGCGGGCCGGGAGGCTGCGGAAAATGAGCAAAGAACAGACCAAGAAATATGAGAACACAGTGAAAATCTCTATGTCGTCGTCACACAGTGGTCTAGAACTGTGAAACACGGTCAAAAGTCATTACCTCGTGAATTTTGCATTTTAGACCAGTGGTGTCTTCGGGAAAGTTTCTGGATATAAAAAGTCTTTCTTTTGACATTGACAGATCAATTAAAATTAACCTATGCAGCAAACCATCCGATGCTTTCGAAATGAACTTACATTTCTATTCCGAGCTTCTAACGCTTCTTCCGAGTATACACCTATTGGAAGCTCTAGTGAATTCATGTAATACCAGGGATACTTTTTTTGTTTCAAACAGACGGGCAGTCTCTAGGGCGTATATTCTGAACTTCTCGGTATTAATTTCGTAACCACAGGCAAGAGTAGTTAAAATCACAGAAAATCGTCTACTATGTAAACATTATAAAACAAATTGCCATCGATGGTAGTTCCACTTTCTGGCTTGACAACATCGACGATTAATCTCAATTCTTTATTTAATCTTACCTGGATCATCTCTTTTCTTTCTTTACATAATTGCTGGTCGCTTGAGTTCTCGTTTTGATTTTTTTCGTTTTGTGTTGTCACGTTGCACCGTGGAAGTGTCACCACCTTCTCGCGTTCTGTCAAGTTTACTTGAACTTGCAAACACGAAACAAATGGTGCGTAAATGTGCCAATGAGACAGCAGCGGGCCCTTCAAAGAAAGTGCTAATCAAGCCCAACGGGTCACAGGATGACGCCAGAAAACGGGTACTGTAAGCCAACTAGTATGCAGTACTCCCGGAACAAAAAGGCGATGGTGACGTCGTTCCCATTGCAAGAAGAGAGCTGATTCCCCCGCTTTTCACGCCGGTGAAGGATGTTGCCAAGCTGGGTGGTGAACTGGAAAAACACCAGGTGCTCAGTTGGGAGCATTACAAACCCCAACATCGTGATGTAACGCAGTGTATGAACTGCCTCTCCTATGGTCATGGCACCAAAAACTGCCATATGAAGACAAACTATGGCAAGTGTGCTGGAACTCACTCAACTGCGTCATGTGAGTAAGATGATGACATCGAGCCAACGTGTGTCAACTGTGGTGGAAACCACCAAGCCTCCAATCGCGGATGTCCCAAGCGAGTGGAGTTCATGAATATCCGTCGGAAGGCTACAATCAACAATCAGCCCGGTCGCCTCCGTAATCATCGTTCACCTCCTATACTCCAGGTTCATCCCCCGCCCCTGCCCCTGTCTCAGGTGAGCCTGTCGACGATTCTCCGTTCACCTCGGAGGAATTTGTGACGCTTGTGGCCGAAGTCATCATCATCATGCGCACCTTCAAGACTCGATCTGAACAGCTACATACTGCCATGTTCCTCGTCACTAAGTATGGACCGTGAAGCCATCAAGATCGTAAATTGGAATGCTTGCTCCTTCAAGAGCAAAAACATCGAGTATGTTGACTTTCTCAACGAACGGCACATCGGCATAGCCGTCATCACCGAGACTCACTTGAAGCCTGAGCTGAACGTCTTCCTTCCCGACTTTCGGCTCGTAAGGCTTGACCGCACCAGCTCCGGGGGATCGCTGCGAGACGGAACATTAGTTGCCAGCTTCTACCAAGCTTCCAACTGAAAATTATCGAATCCATCGGAGTTGAGGTGAGCACATCGCTTGCTTCACTCACCATCATCGTGGTCTACTGCCCCAAGCAAACCAACATTAGGGACGGCTCGGCCGCAGACCTCCAAAAAGATATTACCCGAGCAAAGTCGAATATCAAAATACTATAAAAATGATATCTAATTATTTTTTTGAAATCATGCTGACCCCTTTATCCAAGACGAACTTTACGTTATTGTCCTCCGCTTTCGTAAATTCAGGATAGTCTTACTGGCAGATATTGAGAAGATATACCGCATGATCAGCATACATCCTGAGGAGTGGTTCCTGCAATGCATACTTTTCCGTTTCGACAAAGATCACCCTATAACTTAATACGTTCTAACAACAGTGACGTATGGATTGGCTCCGTCATCGTTTCTGGCAACCCGCACGCTTCATCAGCTTGCCGAAGACGAAGGCGATTCGTTTCCCCGCGCTGCAGAGGCGCTGAATCAAGATTTTTACATGGACGATTTCATTCGAGGAGAGAATAGCGTCGACTCGGCGATCAAATTATGACGAGAGATAACTGAGTTACTCAAACGTGGAGTTTTTCGACTGAGAAAGTGATGTTCCAATTCCCAAGCGGTCCTAGAAGGAGTTCCGGAGGATGACCTAGCCACTCAATCCAGTCGATCGTTCGATCCCGTAGATACAATTAATACGTTGGGAATCAGCTGGGAACCATCGACCGACCAGTTTCGATTCAGCATCAACGTGAGCATGAAGGAAGGACCGATAACTAAACGGAAAATTTTGTCGGAGATCGCACGCCTGTATGATCCACTTGGTTTGATTGCACCAATTGTCGTTAGGGCCAAGATATTGATGCAACAGTTGTGGATGCTGTCTTTGGACTGGGACGAGGAGGAACCCACCGAGATCCAAGCCAAATGGATGACTTTTATCAACGAGCTGCCCTACCTAGTCAGTTTTCGTATTGATCGGTATGCTTTTGGAGAGGGAGATGTACAACTACATTGTTTCGTCGATGCATCCGATGTTGCTTATGGCGCGTGTCTGTACGTGCGTACAATTGGAATCAACGGAGAAGACTTCCCTTAGTGAAGGTTGAAGTACTTACTTCGAAATCGAGGGTGGCCCCGCTGAAGAAGTGTAGTACTCCACGGTTGGAATTATGTGCTGCTCAAATCGCTGCTCATCTAGCTACGAAAGTCAGCAAAGCGCTGGAAATTGAACCTGGATCCATCTGGTTTTGGTCAGATTCGACGGTGGTCTTGCACTGACTCCGTTCCCCACCGCAAACATGGAAAACGTTAGTTTCAAATCGTGTGGCCGACATGCAAATCCCAACTCACGGCTCCAGGTGGCGGCAAGTTCGACAGTTCACGACGAGCGAGCTTTGGAGAAAAGGACCCGATTGGCTACGGGAGGGGTTGTCTTGAGCGCAAGACAACGTGCCTGACAATTCAAATCCCACCACCACGGAACCCCTTTATTACTCGATTTTCGTCGTACCACCGCATGGTACGGACGATAGCCTGTTGTCTGCAGTTGGTTGGTTGAAAACGGTTCAAGCTGAGTGCTACCAAAAGAAGCTGCGTGCTCTCAAGAAAGGTCAACCGGTTACTAACCAGTCCACGTTGAAGCTGCTGAACCCGTTCGTGGACACTTCTGGAATTATTCGCGTTGGTGGCCGGCTTAGACTCTCTGAAGAATCCTATGGTACCAAACACCCAATTCTTCTACCTGGGTTCCACCACTTCACACGAATGCTCTTGGTGTCGTACCATCGTAAATTATTACACGAGGGCATTTCACTCACTCTTGTCGTGGTTCGCGACGATTTCTGGCCAACCAACGGCAGAAGAGCCATTCGTAGCATAATTTGGAACTGCTACGGCTGTACTCGTACAAATCCCCGTCCGATCCAGCAACCTGTTGGACAAATTCCTACTGCGCGAATCACTCCCAGCCGGCCATTTGCTTCAACCGGCATAGATTACTGTGGTCCAGTGTACGTAAAGGCTAAACTCCGCAAAGGTGCACCTATCAAGGACTATATCGCACGTATGTTTCAGCACCAAAGCTGTTCATATTAAACTGGTTGAAGATTTGTCTGCATCATCCTCTGCATTGCGGAGATTTATTGCTCGTCGCGGCTTACCTGAACACATCTATTCGGATAACGCCACAAACTTCGCCGGAGCACGAGCTCCATAATCTCTACCAATTGCTCAACAACTAAACCATAAATGCTCGTATCGCTACCTGCATAGCAACGAATGGAATCAAGTGGCACATGATCCCCCCTCGTGCTCGAAACTTCGGTGGACTCTGGGAGGCTGCTGTAAAACTAGCAAAAAAAGCACCTACTTCGTCAAATTGGAACCACTTCGTTGCTGCAAGAGGACCTCGAAACAGTGTTGGTGCAAATCGAGGGCTGCATGAACTCTCGCCCTTTGGTCGTGTTATCTGATGACCCTAATGACCTTCAAGCGCTAACACCCCGACACTTTTTGGTGGGCTTTTCCCTGCAAGCTCTCCCGGAATCGGATTTGAGAGAGATTCCGATCAACCGATTGGACCGTTACCAGCTAGCTCAGCAGAAAGTGCAGCATTTTTGGTACCGATGGAGGACCGAGTACCTCAAGAAGCTGCAACGTCAAACGGCAATCAACCCACGAAAAGTCGACTTCCAAGTTGGCCAAGTAGTCATCCTGCAAGATCATTAGCTTCCACCGGTACGCTGGCCTTTGGCCCGCATTATGGAGCTTCACCCAGGACAAGACGACGTAGCACGTGTTGCAACCGTACGTACTGTAGCTGGAGTCTTCAAGCGACCTACTTCGAAGCTATGCCTGCTGCCGAGGAAGGAGGACGACATCGAAGGAAACGTCATGGAGAAAGCAGATCAGTAGCTTGACTCAAACTTGATGTAATAGAATTTCTTTTATGTATTACCAGTAATTCTCAGCGAAATATTCATTTCGGTGGCTGGTCTATGTTAGGTTAAGATCACTTTGAAGTTAAACAATTTAAAATCAAATTGGAATCCATCTCCAATGCACCGTTTGGCGTCAGAAACGCAGTGCATCACCCATAGCAGGAAAAATTATTCGACACTGAAATTCTTAGCAATAAAGTAATTAGTTTGATAAGTGAATAAATCGATTTTTTTTTTGGTAAAGTAACCGCGCCGTATCAGTAAAGTGCAAATCCGAAATTTACGCCCGTGATTCATCCCCGTATAAAACAATGGTGTATCCATCAGAATGTTTCGAGTTTTTTCGTCAATCATAGTCATACTGAGACGATGATGTATTCTCCAATCATTTGCATTTCTCAATTGCTCCACGGT